TCAAAAGTAGGTGATTTTATCTTTATTGAATTTCAGTTGTTTTATGAAGTTCATAAAACTTCCTGAAGACCAAGGAACACTGTGGGCAGGAAAGCAAACGCTGTACATTACCCACAACACACCAGTCCCACAGTGAAACATGGTGGTGGCAGCATTATGCTTTTCTTCAGATTCGCTGGTCAGAGTTTAAATGAAGATGACTGGGACTAAATACAAAGTAATCCTGTCAGAGGCTCCAAAAAACTTGACGTAACCCCAGTCATGGTTTAGATCAAGTGCATTTGTGTGTCCTTGTTAAAGCCCAGATGCAAATCCAAGTAGAATTTGTTGCAAGACTTGAAAGTTAATGTTCAAAGGCAAAATTTCCAGTCTCTGTTGATTTGTTCATTTGTTTTTCTCTTACATTTTTTTCCATTATTTATTTTTCTTTTTTACAAAAAATGTTAAAAGCTGACAAGACTTTAAGCTTTTACTGCAGTGACAGATGAGATATTAACAGAATTCAAATACACAAGTGCATGCCACACTTTTCAGATTGTATTTCGAATTAAAAAAATAAAAGAAAATCACCTATCTCCTTTCTTCTTCTCCTTCCATTTCTGCACTTTTGTGTGTGTCCATTACACACAATCCCAAAAGGAAACATCAAAATGTATTGTTGTGATGTTAAATGTAATCTTTAACATCAAAACAAAAAGAAAAATCACTCAGAAACTTACTGTATGTTTCTGAGAACGCACTAACTAGAAAATGAAGGAAAAAAATGTCTGACTCGAACTAAAAAGGAATAAATTTGTGCAAATTATTTGTTGATGTTGGTGGATAAGATAAACTCACTTCATCGCACAGCAGGCAGATTCACAGGAACGTCAGTCACATGACAACACTTCATATTTTACTCTCCACAGCAACAAAATTGTATGACCAAATTCAATTTTATTAATTTCATCCCAACATTTTCCTTTCATTGTCAACAAGATTCATTTCTGTTGATTATCTTTTTTTGTAGAGTCAACATAAAATAACTCTTTTTTTCAGCAGATTAACAAAATGTTATTTTTATCATACCAAACATCCTAACATGTTAATAAGTCAAAGCTTTATTCTATTACTTTACGCCAGTACTGTCAAAAGATGAAGCTTAAAAGATATTACTCAAACACAAAAAAAAAAAAAAAAGGCTAAATAAAATCTCTGCTATAAATGTAACAACAGATGAAATATAAGTCATGGTCGTTTTGTTGGTCTTTCTCCCTGACCTTTTGCCAAAAAATATCAAAACTGTGTCACTTGCTGTCACTTTACAATTATGCATTACTTTGTGCTGGTCCACCACATGAAAATCTCAATATAACGCACTAAAGTTTGTGGTTATTAGATAACACAAACTTGATCAAGTTTCAGTTTTTGTTCATGGTGTACATCTGAATGCAGTTCTGGAAGTGCGCTGTGGTGTTCATCTGGGGCCTCAGAACGATAATGTACATTTTGGGGAGGAAGTATCCAGCCAGGAAGGCCAGGACGCTGAAGAGCGTGGCGAACACCTGCGCCGCCATGGTGAAGGTTTCTCTGTTGATGAGGTAGAGGGTGAAGAAGCTCATCCAGGAGATCATGTACACCATCAGGCTGAAGGTGACACACTTGGCTTCGTTGTAGTTGGCCGGCAGGTCCTTCCCCATGTAGCTGAAAGAGAAGCAGAGGACGCTGAGGAGAGAGACGTACGCCAGCTCAATGCCGGAGCCGACGGAGAGGGTTTTGCTGCACTCCCAGACAATTTTGTCTTGGTAGAACTGCAGGTCCTGGGAAGGCTGCGGCGTGTCGACGGACAACCGGAGCACTGAGATGAGCAGGATAGTGGCAGACACCAGAAAGATGGTGACCTCTGGGCCCTGCTTTTTCATCCACCTGTCGTAGGCCGGCGGCAGCCTGGACGCAAACTTGAATATGCACACGACCTGCAGGGAGCGCACCGTGATGCAGGCCAGACACACAGAGAAGCTGATGGTGAACAGAGTCTGCTTCAGGACGCAGGCCGCCGGGGACGGCCGGCCAAAGTGGCACAAAGTGCTCAGGGCGGCGACCGTCAGGGCCGCCAGCATCAGCAGGCAGGTGCGGCCCCCGGCGGACTTGCCCACCGGCGTGTTCAGGTTGAGCAGGAGGATTACGGCCGTGCTGGAGGTCAGGAGGACGCAGGTGGTCAGGAAGAAGAGGAGAGCTATGGAGAGAGGGTGGTCCCAGTCCAGCTGTACCACCGTCCTATTCAGACACTCCTCACTGGATGGGGGGGCCCACTGCTCCGGCAGACAGGCCTGACAATCCGTCAGGTCTGGAAGAGAGAGAGAGAGAAAATAAAAAACATAAAATGTCAGAGAAAAACTGGAATGTTGAGCTTGTATAGAAGCATATTTGCATCTTATTTTGTACACATTTTCATAAACAATTCAAGAAGGATCAAATTTTGGTCTAATTGTCCATTAGTGTCAGAATATAAGATGTGAATTCGGCGCCACCTGCTGGTCATTCACGCACACACAACAACTGTTCAGTGAAAAGGTAAATGTATTCGATTTGTACAATAAATAATAAAACTGAACAGTTTATTTAAACAGTAAATCTGCCTTTTCTCAAGTGTTTATAAATGAAGGCAATCCACTCAAACTATAGCAATTTTATATATATATACAAAAAAAAGACTGAAGAATAATCTGGATTCTAATGTTTCTATTTCACAGATTTTAATTTATTTAGCTTTGGCTCTCTCTGCACTGCATCTAAATGTATTTATCTACTATATAAAGATCAGATGTAAACAGATACTAGTTGATGTTAGACCCGTCTTGTTTAATGAGATCACAGATATTAATTAACTCTAGTGAGTTTCTGTTTCCCGTCTGTGCATTACCACTTATATTGAGGAACGTGGCCGAGGGACAGGCCTGGCAGTCGAAGCAGCAGGCATGCTGACCTGTCAGCAGCTTCTTGTGACCTTTTGGGCAAGGTGGGGAGCAGAAGGACTCGGGTACATCCAGCACGGTTTGAAGGAAAAGAAAAGAAATTACTTTGTAGAAGAAATATAAATGAAACAAGACACAACTTCAGGAGTAAGAGGTTTGAAAAAAAGAGAAAAGAACAGCTGCACGATTGCTTAAAGCATACCAAGTTAAAATCTAAAGGTTTAAATCATACATGGAGGTGGGAACTGCAAATATATATATATATATATATATATATATATATATATATATATATATGATTTATTTGGGGAGTGAAAAAAACTAAAATATATATTAATATGGTTATTGTTATTATTATTGCGTTATTATTATTGCTTTGATGGTTAAAAAGAAAACAAGAAAAGAAAACATGGTGATGAAAACAACAGAAGAAATAACACAGTTTTAGTTTATTACATTGAATCTGAGAACTTGAACAATTTCATTTAATAATTTATTTGATGCTAAAGTTTAGATGTTTCTTAATTTTTTAAAGGTTTGCAGTGAAACTTGAAACTCACAAAGTTTTGCCAGGATAAATTAATAAATAAATAATTTAATCATTTTGGTATTTATTTATTTAACTCGTTTTCTTTTTTTTTTTTTTTTTTTTTACAGAGTGACCCAGAACTGATCAACAAACACAACTGACTTATTTAATACGGGCTGACATTTCTGGGCCTATAGCTTCTGATTAATGACATTTATTTTTGCCTCTCATTCGATTTCAACTAAAAAACGTGAAACATCGTCTGTCGTACCGATTCTGAGTCTTCTTTGCCGTGCCACTCTATCAGACTGGCATCCACTGTGAGGGCGATGGGGTCCGGCGTGAAGGAGCCTACCACTCTGAGAGACCAGTCCGTCCCCCTCCAAACCCAGGACACTATATCGTACCCGGTGGGTGGGTCTCCATGAATGTCAAAATACACAGGAGAGTTGCCGAGAGAAAATCGAACCTTCCTGAGCTGCGCCAGAAGCTGGAGAGGAGAGAGGACAAAGACACGGAGCTTCAACAGTTGGTTAAATGTTTCAGATCAGGAGATGTTTGCTTCACATTACCTCTGGTGGAGACACACTTCTCCCGCTGCATTCTCCGGAATCACAGTCAAGAGCTTGATGCAGAGCCTGAGCTAGAGCATAAACTGCCTTGTAAACATTGAAGGCGGAGGTGATGTCATATTTATCCATGGAGAAGTTGTTCCTGGCGAGGGAGTACAGGTCTGTGCTCTGCAGACAGTCATTGCCACCGCCGAGTGTCGTGTTGGCGTCTCCGTTGACGTGCTGCATTGAGATCTCGACCATGTTCTTCTGGAACTCGTCAAACCCAGGAATGGCGGCGTCCTTGACCGAGATCCCGAGCACGGTGCCGATGGTCTGGATCCCAGGAATCCCGGATATGAGAGTGGACGGCGACCAGTCCTCCGTCCCGATCCACACCTTTTCTGTAATGTTTCTCTCCAGCACATATGGGAGGAAGTCGTGGAACTTTGTCTTGCTTGAAAACACCACGATGGTGTTCACCTTGGTTTTCAGTATGTTGTCCACCATGTTCCTCATGGTCTGAACCGTGTCGTCGGAGGCCGTGGGGATGATTCCTTGGTATGGGATGCAGATGCCGTGGTGGGGGGCTTGCTCCGACAGGCTCTTCATGCCCTGCAGGCCATAGTCGTTGTCGCTGCCTAAAAGAGCTACCCACATCCAGTTGAACCGGACCAACAGCTGGATCATGGCTTCCACCTGGTTCTTGTCGCTTGGAATCGTGCGGAAGAACGATGGATAGATCTCCTTGTTGCTCAGCATTTCATTTGATGCTTCATAAGAGATCTACAGCGAGCAATCGGGATGTGGCAAATTATATTAAATGGCTTTGCAGATTTTATTTTTGCTATTTTGTCACAGTTAATTTCGATGGTGTCCAATATTTTTGATCATCAAACAATTATTTTTCTATGTGAGGAAAATCAGAATAATGATTTAATTTATCAAGGAAAAAAGCAACACAAGTAAAGCAAAGGAACAGCAGGACAAATGCCACCAAAGTGAGCACAACCAGTTATGTTTTTTGTCCCCATACAGTCAGATTAGTTTGGAAAGCTTGTTTCCCTATTATAAATGAAATCATAATTTCGTTGTATTTTACTTAGGTTATATTTGTCTGGTGTTAAAAATTGTCTAATTATTTGAATCGTCTAAGCGTAACAGAAAAGCAAAAACTAAGAAATCCTAAAAGTACTTTTTCCCCTCTTTTTTAAAAAAAAAAAAAATTAGGACAATTCTAATTTAAATCTTTAAAAGAGACAAATCATGTACATTTCATGAGCACAACCAAAAATATATTAAAACTCCCACCTGTGGAATCACATAAGCCCCCAGCAGAGCGGCTGGCGTGAAAGTCTTGCTGCTGCTGTCTGGTCCAATCACACCAACTGCTCTCTGAACTTTGCTGAAGTTCTGGTACTGCTGCTCCAGCAGGTCCAGCGTGGCCAGGACACTGGCCGGGTTGGAGCAGATGTCGTACATCTGGTAGCCGAGCTTTACTCCTGGCAGCAGAGGCAGCGGGCCGGAGTTGTTGTTGATTTCTTCTACAGCGAATCTCATGGCTTGCATCAAGTGAAACCCGTGTTTGTTAGGTCTTCCTCTGAAAAGTGTAAAAAAAAACAACAAAAAAAACAAAACAAAACAAAACAAAAACGAGCAATTTAAAAAAAAAAGTAAAAAAATTGTTGGCGGTAAATGAAGACAAGTATTGACTGAGTGCTTACTGATCACATGGAACCAAAGCAGGCAGACCATTAGCAGGGACGTCAGTATAATGGAGGGGAAAGAGTCCTGCGAAGGAAAAGTCACCCTGGAGCTGCATCCCCTCAGCCTGAGACGTATAATCTAGCTCCCCAGCAGCTAACTGCAGCATCAGCCAGCCTGAGGAGAGGAAGACGGCAAGAAACATTATTCAAAACTCAGCTCAAACACCTCTGCTGACAAAACTCATGTAGCCTGTATGAAAAGAAGCAGGACTCGTTTATAAGAGGCCTCCGCTGAGGCGAGGAGCCTCCAGTGACAGGAAGGAACACTTTGCATCTTTTCAAGGGAATGCTGATTCAAAGAAGCTTGTTTGCATGTTGAATTTGTTTGTGAGACTGTAGCGTTTCCCCTCATGAAAATGAGCTGGAGACATGTAAAAAGCCAAAAGAAAAAAAAAAAAAAAAAAAAAAAAACGGCAAAAGTTTTTGACAAAGGAAAAACACTTATTCTACTCTCATGCATTATTTTGGTCAGAAATTCTGTTTTGGTAAAGAAACATATTTCTGGTGGAGTCATGCATTGCTTTTTGTTGTTTGTTTGCTGATTCTGGTTTTCATGCCCTCATAGTACATTGATAACAACCAATCAGCTTTCATGTTTTTGGATGGTGGAAAGAAGATGGAGTACTCAGTTATTCCCACACATCCATGGGGAAAATGTACAAACTTACTCCATGAAGAACCAAGGCCGTAATTCAAACCCAGGACAAGCAGTGCAACTGGAAATCAACCAGTTGTTCCTAAATGGCCAATTTGTGGTGCCATTCTTATTATCCACTGATTTTACATTTAACTAGTACATGAACATTTTATTTAATTGACCAAAAGCACAGAGTACCTGAGCATTACCTTCATGTTTTATATGTACTTTTAGTAAAGCTGTGAAAATATTGTGCAGTAATATACATGAAACAATCAGTTTAAGACATCCAATTGCCTGACAGGTTTTTATAATCATTGTGAGTTTTGTGAATAGAACCTTCCCTTTTGTTTCTGCTACATTTCTACCGTCCAGTTTCCTCAAATTAAGGCACATCACAAGAGAAATGTTGACAAGAGGCGTAGATCCGTTTGCATTTTGGTGACATTGTAGCCTCAAATTACTAAACACACTTTTTGCATTGGAATACAATCTGGCTGAAGATTACCTGTCTCCAAATCCCTAACCCATTGTTTTGACTGGGATAGTGTGCTTTTTTTCAGCCACGGTGTCGTGGAGGCAAATGTCTATGAAAATGAGCTCATCTGTCCAAACATAATGATATGTGATGCTTTTGATAAAACAAACTTGATTTTTGAACCTTTTTATTTTTATTTTTGAATTATTGAAAGCATTCTAAAACAAAAGTGTGAGAAACAATCTAAAAAAATTATTCTTATTCTGAAATCCCAGCTCCATGTAAGATATTTCATTCATTATACTCAAATTTTTGTTTACAAACCATCTTCTTATATTTAGTTCTTTACAAGCTGCCAAAGGGACCTTAAGCAAATATATGTCTTCTCCTAATACCATGCCTCCCTGGAAAACCCAGAAATAACCTGTTATTTGAACCAAAATCGTATTATATCTTTCAAGAATTGTACAAAGCCAAAATATATGTGAATAGTTTATATCTAGAAAGTTGCACTTCTGATTTTAGCCTTTAAACAATATTTTCATCAAACATGACAAGATTTGGTGGATTGTTGTTTCTTATTTTAAGATTTGATGAGTGTTACAGACTCTCTTTTTTTAAAGAACAAAGTACAACAAGTATACAAAAAACATCATACCATATAAAAGTAACAACAGTAGCGACGGGTTATTAGAACATCATGTAGATAAATTAAAGCTATAAACTGAGTGATTTAAATGCCTTATAGTTTTTTGAATGAGATAGTAACTGGAAGTAGTTCAGTAGGTCAATTTTAAGTCACAAAGTAAGGAATTTTTCTATTGAATTTACATTTGTGAATAAAAAAAGCTTTGCTAAAAAATACAATCAAATTAATTAAAAAAATAATTATTTTCTTCCATTCTTGAACAACTGTTCAAGGACAATATCATCCCAACGTAAAACAAAAATCTTTATACATATTATCGATTATAAACCGACAGACATCTCCCTAAAACTTTTTGGTACGAATGGAAAGAATATAAAGAACCTGATGATAGACTCATCAGCTTGCAGCAAGGTTCCAACCAGTGACGTCTATTGTCTGCGACGCACATGACAGGGTGAAAGTGCAAGTTGCCATTTTTTCGAGCCATTTTTACATGAGTTTATGCGACCAAAGGCAGAGTGTGAGTTTTAACCCAGTCTTTTGCTGTTGTTCGTTTTTCAGCAGTGTGCTAGAAATACTGAAGAGGAACGTTTCGGAAACGCGGGTTTGTTTTACACCGGGTTAGAGCGCAGAGGAGCTCGGCGCTCCACTTCTCTGCAGATAGCTGCTTAGCTGTTAGCTAACGTTAGCGTCTCCTGTAAACAAACACAACTCGGTTCAAAGGCACAGCAGCTTCCTCCTGCTGGTTTTCATCACCATATTTCTCTATAATTTATCATTTAAGAGCCACAACAGCGTTAGAAACAGCTCTCTGTTCAGTGCACAAAGCTGATGCCGATTATCTGCGAGTTAAGCTGCGCAACTTCAGTTTTGATGACGGTGCGAGCTCCTTCAAAATAGCTCGGAGCTCAGTTGCTTTGGAGCAGGTCGGGCTCAGTTTGTGCTGGGAGCGGGAACAGAAGAAGTGGTCGGCATGTCGTCCTTCTCCGAGTCGGCCCTGGAGAAGAAGCTGACGGAGCTGAGCAGCTCCCAGCAGAGCGTCCAGACTCTCTCTTTGTGGATCATTCACCACCGCAAACACTCGGGCCTCATCGTCAAAGTGTGGCACCGGGAGCTGAAGAAGGGTAAGACACACACACACACACACACACACACACACACACACACACACACACACACACACTCTCTGCTGATTATATTTCTGTATTTCGGTGTAAGGTACATTTTTAAGTAAAATTTAGGTTGATGTTAGCTTTGGAATGTCGTGATTTACAAGCTTGTTTCTTGTTAAGCAGAGGTTTTGTAAATTAGATTTTCTTAAACTTAACCTCATGTAAATTAGAGAAATCAGCTTGCTAGTTGTATGCCTGAATAGTCCTTGTTTTTTGTTTTTTTTTTAATATTAGGTCATGTCAGATAAAACAGTTCTGTTGGGGGTTTAGGTAATACATCTGCAAAATGCTACATACATTTAGTTTTTTAGATGACAAATTGAACAGTTCTCCTTGGGATGCTAAAAACTCAGGTTATTGTGTTTTTAAACTGTCTGGTATGTCAGGTTTACATAGAATAACCATGTAATGTAGAGATCAAATTACACACGTGGGTTTCTATTTCTTAATTAGGTGATGTCAGAAGGCAGTTGGTTACATTAGTATTTATTTAGGGTAATAGCGTGAAGAAGGGGTCATTACTCATACCTCCCACACTTTTCAGTTTTTTATTTTTATTATATTGAACTCTATGTATAATTTTAATTCAACTTCATGTCTCAAAAAAAGAAAATCCTACCAAAATACATTGAGTTTGTGGTTGCAAGGTGAGGAAGTGTATAAAGGCTGAATTGGTTGTACTTTCTCAAAGCATTACACATGTGTGAATATATGTACGGTCTTTAAGTTTGAATTGAAAAAAGAAAAGTAATTTAGGCGTTGTTTGACAAATATTTGATGTTGCATATAATTTATTCACTTGTGATTTTTTTTTTCCAAACAAGTTGTCAACTGCGCCACATTAGGAGATCAAGTTTCACCCTCCACATTTTGATTTTTAAAAGTTTTTGTGACTTTAGTGGCCTTTATTCAACAGCCTCTGTATTTGATGCACCCAGGATCAGGTTTATATATTATCTTTGTAATATATAAACCTGGTTCCTGACTGAGCTAAAAAATAACTTGCATTATTATGTCTCCTCTTGGTATGCCCGTAACATACAGTAACATTAGACAAATTGGACAAACATTGACAGCCCTAAATCAGATTAAGATGATTTAGATGCTGAAGTAGAACAAGTTACGTACAAAGTAATAGAAGAGCTTGAGGATGCTGAAGAACGATAAAGGTGACCTATTATGCTGCCTTGAACAGAATATACAAAATATGTTCATTTTTATTTGCTCAACATTCTTCTTAGATAATGAGATTTTTTGTCTGCTCAGTTCTGCCTATTTTGAGCTCTAAGTAATGGGCCTGTCTTCTGAGGTTGCTAGGTTACAGGCTGTGCTTCGCTCAGGTTGCTAGGTAACGGGCTGGGCTTTGCTAGGTGAGGGCCAGTGCCTGCTGATGTCAAAGGGTTTTTTTAAGTGACTCATTTTCCAGACTCTAAAGTACAATAAGTTACTGCCAAAAACCAGCGGAGTGTTTTTTTTTTTTTTTTTTTTTAAGCACTTGGACTGTTTTTCGAAGTAGTAGAGGCCAAAACGGAAGCACAAAAATGTGTCTAATAGGTCCTGTTTCATAATTTGTTTGTGACAAGTAATTGTAACTTTGCAATATTCAACAACTGTGTGATTTCACATTGCTATGCGTCTTAACAATTTTAAAAGAAAAGCATATTTTTTAAAAGCAAAGTCTAAAAACCATGTCAATATCCAACTAATTGAAATTTATGTCTGTATTGTGACATGTTGCTATTTTTGTGGCTTTTTCTTTCTTTCTTTTTTATGTAAAATTTTGGTATCCTGGCAATATTTAATGCAGTTTTAATCCTAATGCAGATGTTGTCGTTTTATGTGATTGTTGCTCCATTGGGAATGAACCAGGATTTAATTGCTGGGCAGAAATAAACAAAAAGTTATTTTTATGTTATTAAAAATTATTATTGCCACACAAATCACTCTCCTTTAGTAATCAATCAAACAATGAGCTGACACATTATTAATTGAGACTTTTCCTTGTTGATTAGAAAGCAGTTTGTCTTAAATATATTTCTCTGTGTGTTTTCTAGCTAAAAGCAACAGGAAGTTGACATTCCTGTATCTGGCAAATGACGTCATCCAGAACAGCAAGAAGAAAGGACCCGAGTTCACCAAAGACTTTGAGTCTGTCCTTGTGGACGCCTGCTCCCATGTAGCAAGGTATATTTCAACAAGTCATCTGTGTGTTTTCTACAAACTTACAGATGCTCTAAAAACACACAGGTGTTTTTAGAGCATCTGTATGTTCTAAAAACATCCTCTGCTTGAGTTCTATGGGAGGAGTTGGTGTGAGCAGTGATAAGTCAGAGGCTTTATATCAACCACGGATGATAAACATTTTAGGTCGGATCGTTTGAAAATAATCACTCGACTCTTTGCTGTTGAACTGGACTGACTGCAAATGATTTTAATTTTAGCATCTTTCTAAAATTTGCTCACGTATACTGAAGTAGAATATTCTGTATACAATATTGTGAAACCAGTTTTTAAAGGTGTTTTGCCATCCAAATGACAGATTGATTCAGTTTTAATTACTTCTTGTACTTTTTATGATAATTGTGTCGTAGTTTCTTCGTTATTGTTTGTATTGATAGTTTTTCCTTTTGTATTTATTGACAGAATTAGGTTGTTTTTAGCAGGACAAATTGAGCGTTGTTCAGGGACGGCAGATGAAAAACAGCCTTTTGGCTAATTCTGGCACATTTTCAGCAGTGTCAGTTTACGTGCATTGTCCCTAAATAAATAAATAAAATAAATTAACGAAAATCAGTAAGGTTTTTTTTATCACAAATTAAGCTTAGCACTGACATAAAATTGCATGCATCCAGGTTTCTGCCTGGACGTCTCACGCTTAAATGTAGTTTGTTCCCTTTGTTCAAACTTATAAGTGGAATAAACTCAAAAAACTCTTCAAATATAGCTTCCTACTATTTTTTGTAGACATATCTAACTTGTTTGGACAAGTTGAAAAACACCTTTGTGTGTGTGTTTTTAAAGCTTGTTCTTATTCCATTTGGCTGTTGTCTTGCCTCTCTGCAGTGAAGTGGATGATGGTTGTAAAAAGCAAATGGAGAGGCTGCTGAACATCTGGAAGGAGAGGAATCTCTACAGAGGTGATTTCATTCAGCAGCTCAAACTGGCCATAGAGGACTCCAGCAGCCCCAGACCCTCAGGTTTGATCATTTAATAACGACATAATTGCTTCATAGCTATGTTTATATAGAGCCGCCCTCACTACAGTTATATATGTATATGATCTAATGCACATTTCTGCCCTGTGTCATTTATCTGCAGAAGAGAAAAAGGCTGTAAAACGAAGTTATCAGAAGATCCAGGAGGATGAAGAGGATGACGACGATGACTACAGAAGCCACACATCTCCCCGCAACTCGGATTCCGCCGCGAATCAGCTGGTACGAACGCTGGCATCGTACAGTAACAGTATCAGATAACGCTGCTGATCCTTTTTTTTTTTTTTCTGATTTATTCCTTGTGTTTTCGATCATTACCATTTTCAGACAGAGGAGCTGGTGAAAGCTCTGCAGGACTTGGAGAACGCCGCATCAGGCGACGCAGCGGTGCGCCAGAAGATCGCCTCACTTCCACAGGAAGTTCAGGATGTTTCCCTCCTAGAGAAGATTACTGGTAAAATGTGACAAACTATTTATTTATTTATTTATTTATTTATTTATTTATTTATTTATTTATTTATTTAACTTTTAAAATCGGGGTTATTTACATTATAGATCAGAGTATTAGGGTTGTACTTTGAAAAAATAAAATAAAATTATGTATAAAACTTTGGACAGTAAGTGGTTAAACAATTAGTTAATGCATGTGGTGTTTTGAATTAATTGTAAATAAATAAATAAACAAGTAAATGTAATTTAATAAAATAATTTAAATAGGTTAATTATTGATGTTAGATTGGAGTAAATATTGTATGGAGTTCTCACTAACCAAATAAACGTTTAGAGAATAAGGCATTTGTAAAAATAAAAAAAAAGCGTAGCATTGCTTGAACTGAAATGAACTCGGTGAAAGAAATTCTGCAAAGACAACAACAGCTTTACCTCCTATTCAGACAAGGAGGCGGCGGACAAGCTGTCAAAAACGGTGGACGAGGCGTGTTTGCTGCTGGCGGAGTACAACGGACGGCTGGCAGCGGAGCTGGAAGACCGCCGGCAGCTCGCCCGCATGCTGACTGAATACATCAGCAGCCAGAAGGAGGCGCTAGTGGAAAGGGAGAAGAAGCTGGAGGTAAAGCACAACATCTATTTTAAAATTCTGCAGTGCTTAGATTCCTGATTTGCCGCAAACGTTTTAAGACGTTTTACATTCCCGGAAATATTTTTGTTTCTCATGAACCAAAACCTTTCGAGGCGTCGCCGATAAACGCGGGCCCCCACTCTTCTTCCGCAGGAGTACAAACAGAAACTGGCGCGAGTGACTCAGGTGAGAAAGGAGCTCAAGTCCCACATCCAGAGTCTTCCGGATCTGTCGCTGCTGCCCAACGTCACCGGCGGCTTGGCTCCCCTCCCCTCCGCCGGAGACCTCTTCTCCACCGACTGAGAGCTGCCAGGCTGAACAGACTCCTGCGACTTCCCTCCTCAGCCGACCTCAGCCCCGTGTTTGAGCAACAAGGACGCACCTGGCTTTGCCTCCAACACTGAAGGCACATGTTCTCTCAGAAGAGCAGCTTAGTCCACCCGCTAAACTCATCTGGACTAGAAGACAATGAGAAGAGAAGCAGAGGAGAACAGAGACTCTGCCCGAATGGAGTCTCTGCCACCAGCCTGGAAGTTTGTGTTCCTGATATTTTTTATTTGCTTTTAAATGGTGAAATGTTGTTTCAGTTAAAGCCTCATCCCATGTGATGCGTTTCCCCAATTGGTCTAGGTTATGGATGCAGGCTGAAGAGGATAATATTCGTTAGTTTTATTTTGGGTTTTGTTTTTTCTTGGCTGGCTTGGAGGCTTTTTATCAACACTCTGCCAGATGAGCAGTTTAGTGTGTGAAAAGATCATGTTGGGCTCAGCAGGGGTGGAGTTTTGTTTTCTCATCTGTTACATCACATCTTAAGTTTAGTAACACTTTTAAGTCCGCTTAAACCAGATGTGTTGAGTAAAAGCTTCCAGATAGAAATGATCAAATTAAAAGATAAATTCTTGTCTTCTGGTTTTTGACAAAAAAAACCAACAAAAAACTGTTTCCAACCCAAAAGTATCCCTTTTTTGTGTGTGTGTTTTTAGGTTTAGACATATGGTTAAGTTCATTGATGTTAGTTTTGCAAAAACAAGCTGGACTGAAGAAATATTACAAAGTTTTCTTTCAAAGAAACTGTTTTGTATGTGCTTGTGTGTAAACGATACATGGGAAACGCTAAAACCTAAAAATACAGTATCTTCTGAAAGGAAAAAAATGCCTTATGTTGCATGTTTAGAGTTTGGAAATACAAAGAAAAAACAAATTCACTTATCAAAATCCGTCTGACTGGGAAATAAACTTCAGGGCCATTTCAGTTTTTTTTGTTTCGTTTTAATCCTCAGGCGTACTGACGTTCTGAGCCTCGAAGGCCTAAAACAAATACCAAAATATTTCCCTTTGGATGAGAGTCCCTTTTTTTATGTTTTATTAGATATTTTTGTAGAGGAATAAGAGAGAATTCATGTCTGTTGGTGTAGGGATGCAGGGAGGGATGCTGGGATAGGTGGAGATGAGGAACAACTGGATTTGGTTTTGAAATTAAGGTCAGAATGAAATTTAGCTCTGATTTTATTTATTCCGTTTGGCGTGATTATCTTTAATTGCTCTCTGTGACGGCTGCTATATGTGGCCATCTTTGAGGGGTCATACACAGCAAGAAAAAGAAAACACACCCCTACACACACAGACGTCTCTGACTTTTCATCATAGACAATAAATTAGTCGATGCTTTCTGAGGAACATGACGGCTCCCGCTAACGGAGAGAAAACCATTTTTTATTTTATTTTTTATCTTACAAAAAAGGGGTTTGGAAAAGCTGTGAAAGTGAGAAATGTTTACTGAACTCTGAGCAGAGTCTCCTGGCTGCCTCAGAAGCACAAATATATATTTTTTTAAAAAAAGGAGTAAGTTAAGCTAAACAGCTTCATTTGTTTCCAGACCAAAGTCATAAATATGTCTTTGGCTTTAAAAGAGCAACAACTTTAAACTACTGTACACCAGAAAGGATCCTGGTAACATTTTACCCCCCCAATTTGCTAAACTTGATAGTATTTAGATATTTTTCCTACCATCCGGCTGTTGTGTTTCTCTCTAATGCTAGTTCTGAAAGGAGACGTGGTTTTTCTCTAAGGAAAGTGATTCAGTGGATGCCAATAAAGTGGAACCATTTGAACAAATGCTGTGTGTATTTTTAATTTAATGACTGCAGTCAGAAGAAAAACCGGCTGTGAAGGCTTGTGACGAGGTAGGTGCAAGTTTTTACACAGTAGGATAACCATCAGCTTTTAGTTTTTATATTTAATTAGGTTCACTGATTTATGACTTACTGTGTTAGTTTTATTTACAAATACATATTTTGATTGCAAGATTCACACTTTGTGTTATGTTGTAACAGAAATATGAGTTTGTATTGTTTGCAGTATTTGTTCAGCAAACGTACAAAATCCTCATTTTGGTTCTGGGTATTTGGAGAAGGTTTGAATGGGTGAAGAAGAGCTAAAGGTGCACTATGTAATTTTTATAAAGAATATGTTTTTTGTTGTTTTTTTTAACATATTTGTTAAAACTGTCACCATAGTATGACAGATATTTGTGAAAAGTTTAATCTCCTCCAATCCCTCCTTGCCGTCATAGGCGGGGGAAAAGGGGAGGAGTCAGATGGGGGAGGAGCTGCGGCGCTAGTTAAGACCCGCCCCTTGCTTCTGATTGGTTGTTTCGAGTTAGCGCTGGGTGTACTGGAAGAAGGAAGAGAAAATGAATTTTTTCACATATCTGTCTCATGACATACTGTCAATACTGTCAAGACATAACAGTTTCAAAAAATATGTAAAAATATATATTTTAATAGTTACATACTACAGCTTTAAGTAGTAGGTTAGTAGGATATTTTCCAGTTAATTGATATGTTATCTAAACTGAAATTATTTATGTGGCCGATTTTTAACATAGCTAATTTAATAAAGACAGCTGGATTTATCCTTGGAATGGTTACCTTTGGAATTCTAATGACTAGTTCATGTGACATCACAGAAACTGAAATGTCAGACCCTGTGAGAGTTCTGAAATTCTCACAGCCTTTCGTTTCTGCAGGAAATCAGTCCAAGACTGAGGAGAATAGAAAGGTCTTTAATCCTAGGGAGCAAAGATTGGTTAAAATATGTCACTGCATAACAAGCTCTGCATGAGGCAGCAGCTTTGTGACACAGTGATCAGAGTGGACGGCGGTGAATTCTACGTACACAAGGTCGTCTTGTGCAAATGCAGCCCATATTTCAGGTAAGCTCTTGGCAGGAGATACGGCAGATTTGATGTGAAAAAGTAAAAGAGGGTGGCTTGTTAAGGAGCAGAGAGTAGTAAGATAAATAAGCCTAATAGAGGTAAGAAGAACATTTAATGATAAACTGTGATTATCCTGTTTTATGGATTCAGTATGCACTACATGATCTGGAAATATGTGAGTATTCATTTTCAGTCCAATGACTATTTGTTTTGTTTCTTCACAGAGCTCTGTTTAGCCACTGGTCAACACCAGACTGTGTGACCTTTGACATCCCTGGAGTGTCAACCAGCCTAATGTGCCTTATTATCGAGTTTGCCTACACAGGCAATGTTCTTCTGACAGGACAAAATGCACAGGAACTCTTCATAGTAGCAGACCGTTATAATATGACTGGCCTTTTACAAGCCTGTAGTGATTATTTAGAAAAGCAGCTGAACCCACAGAACTGTCTCAGCATCTGGATGCTTACAGATACGTTCTACCACCCAGAACTGAGAGAGAAGTCCGAACTATACATTCTGAGTCATTTCAAAGAAGTTGTTGACACCTGCGCAGATTTCCTTCAGCTCTCTGCTCAACAGCTAGTTCAAATCATTGAAAGTGACTTACTCATTGTAAAGCAGGAGAAGACGGTATACAAAGCCATCCTCAAATGGATCGCCCATGCGCCCGAGGAACGGAAAACTTACAGCTCATTACTATTTTCTAAGGTGAGGGTGGTGGGCATTTTGTTTTTTTGGCATTCTTGGCATCAATTTACGTATAATTTCATAAATGAATAATCACAGCATTTATATGCTGCCTAAATTACACTGTAACTAATTAACTGTCACAGTTAATTAGTTAGTTAATTAGGCTGTTAATTAGAAATTAACTACCTAATTAACGGCAGTTAATTTCCTGCCGTTAATTAGGCAGGAAATTAACTGCCG